GCGAAACCAAATTGCACGAGCAGGGCATGCACGCCTTGCGTCACCTCAAACAGCTTTCAGAAGCTATCCAATTACTCTCAACACGCCGTGTCTCACGAAGCCATATACAAGAGCACGCTTAAACTGCAGCCCAAATGCGTCTGCTGCATGCACATTGTTGTGATAAAGTACTTTATCAGGTCTTTGATACATATCCTCAACTGCGTGCGGCACAAGTCAAAGCCGCACTCTTCACAAAACGAAAGCAGGAAGCTGGAGAGTCCTCGGCAGCTTCCAAGAAGCGACTGGTCTTTTCCATGTCCAAGACGATTTCCATCCTTGGAACAGGTCTCCATGCGCACCGGTCCAGCAGCACCTAGTATCAGGCTCAGGGTTGGACCCATCTGAAAAGAAGCCGTCAAGCACCCTCCAGCCAGCAAAATGCAGCGGACGTCCGTTGGTTGCTTCTGACAGTTCAAAGCCTTGGTCAGCGACATAGATGCAATTTCAGCCCTCGCTGTGCACTTAGAGCTCGAACGAAGACCAACGTGACCAAGACTACATTACGCCAAGACACTGTCAAAGTCCCAATGATCCTGAGCTTCGTCGATGGCTGGGCTGCCGTCACCATAAACAGCTAAAGCAAAGTTGAAAGCTCCAAGCTGGCGAAACAGCAGAAACGTTACATTGACACTTTTGCTTCAAAACCCTCACAAACGGGAAAGCTTAAGTTCAAAGCGGGATGCGAAGGCCGTCAACATCTTCGAGTCTATCGAGTCCCAATTTGGTGGTCGGAAAGCCACGGAAGGCGTTCTAGACCGGCTGGCAGGCGTTCCGGGACACGACGAGCTTGGCTGCACCTAAATGCTGCAACTGCACTACACGCTTGAATTCAACTCCAAGGGTATCAAGGCCTGCTTGGCATAGATGGAACACAGGTAGTCCTTAGCTCGACTTCGGGAATCCGGACTGTACCACCGAAATGCCAGGAGATCGCGGCTGATGATCAGCCATCATGCAAACGCTGCTTTTCAAGTCAAGCAACGTACCCACCTGGCAACTGCAACGACCCCCGAAATCGTCACTCGCTCTAAAGCTGAATCATCCGGTAACTTGGCGAACTGGAAACGACATGTAAAGGCTGTCTTGTTCAGCAAGAGCGGGACGCCTGGAGTTCCATCGCCTTGGCGCTTGGGCAGGGAGTCAAACGCTCGTACATCTGAGCTTGTCTCGCCGCTACTTTTTTGGAAAGACATCTACAATCTACAAACCCACCCATGTGTAAGATCATTTGCTTCAAGGACTGCTGAACCGTCGAGGTGAATGAAGAATACTGGAGTGAAGGAGCTCACGGTGCGTCTTCGAGCTTTGATGCGTCTTTAAGAATTGCGGCTGCCATGCCCGAACCGGAAAGCTTTTGGGACACCGTCGCTTCTCTGACAAAGTGGCCTGCTCATCTGTCGTTTGGGATACTGTTGCTACAGTCCAATCACGAAATCCCCGCAGGTGGTGGGACTGGAAGACCTTCCAAAACCAAGCCTTTAAAACACCCGGAGAAAGAGCGAGCGAGCGACGGACGACCTGATTGCGGAGCCGCGTCACGAAATCGACTTGAGACAAGGATTCTGGTGCGGCGAACACAATACCGACAACACCTAAAGTGAACTGGCTGAGTTGCCTGTATCACGCTGCAGCAGCGCACAGGGCATGGACAGAGTCTCCACGCTCGCCCCGACACAGTCCCTCAAGAAAAGCAACTCTTCTTCCTGAGATCGGGGGCCCTAGGCCCAAAGCAGAGTTGATGCACAGGAACATATACTTCTTACATCCGGTGCTATCTTCTGCTGCATAACGCTATGGCATTATGGCAAGCATCATCTTCCAGCTCTGGGTTTGCCAGGAGCCTGCTGATAATGCCTTTCGCCACATCCCTGAGCGTCGTGGAGGGGCCGTCTGTCAAGAGCTGTTGCCTCACCCCTTCGGTGTCGGGTGGTACCAGCGGAACTTGCCCGGAGACGCTGCGCGACAGCGAAGGCCTCAACTGTTCAGGCAGGGATCTCAAGTCGCGAATGACACGGAATCCAGGAACTGGGCACCAGCCTCTTCCAGACCGGAAAAAGACCTTGACACTTCTTCCTGTCCAAGCTGCTTCACGAGCTTCAGCAGTGCAGGTTCCGTGTAGTATCGCCGCATGTCGCGGCGCATGGCGAACACCGCTGCCAAAGGCTTGCAAAATGAATTTACTGTGTCAGGCTGAAGCATCTGAAGCTACTCCCGGAGGTCGTCGGTTGGGGCTCTGCTGAAGCTGGAGAGTCTAGAGTCTCTGCCGACGAGGGCTGCTTTTTCACACCCGGCAGGGGGGTGAAAGGGTAATGAGGAAGTGATAGTGCTCACATCACTGCATTGTACTGACTGACCTTAGTTACAAAGAGGCAGAAACTTGCGGTCGCGTCGTGCGCATGGCTGCTGTGTTGACAAGCCTGTCCAGAATCACTTTTTGACATGGGCCTCCGGCAACCCCAGCTTGTTGCCGGGACTGGGGACCTAACTGTGCATGGTGCAGCCATGTGAATATTCCTAGCCACTCTTCACGCACCTGAAACTAACCTCCATCTAGATTGAGGCGCATTGGCCTGGGAGGCAAAAGTCAAATTCAGCGGGCGACCTGTCTGATCAAAGTGATGACTGCTTTCAACAGCAGATGCTTGGATGAAGTGGCTGCGAAAGAAAAACAATCTCAAGACTCTTTCATGTCATACTCATGCTAAGCCATGCTACTAGCGATGAACAAACGCAAACGAAGCCACATTGCACAGTCGCTTGAATGTGGGATTGACCCTGTGACGTGACTTGCTTAGACTCGCACTTCTGGGAGTCTAAGATCACCTCATCACGCTGTTACCCGACAAGTTAGGCTTCAAGAGTCACAAGGCTTCGTCAGATGAGCCTTTCTTCCAAACCTTAGCTCGAACGGATTGTTACAACAGGTGTTCAAAGCACGAGAAGCGCGGAGGGCTCCTTTTGTCCGAGCATCTTTCCATAGCGAAGTCCTTAGCTGCTGCTGCAGCAGCACAGACGAAACATCAACATGCACACCGCATCCTGTGCACACAACAAACTACAACTGATCAGTGAAGAATACAAAATGCAGGGGCTTCAAACGAGGCCTGCCACCAAGCTGCATAGAATTGGACGGATGCCCCGCACTGGTCCGGGACGTCTGTGGGACACGGGCCCAAGCCATCTGCACCTTTGCCATCCATCCACTGCATGTTCTCTGCCGACCAATAGCTGACGATGGGCGTCATTCCTTCATGGAGGGCTTGGGTAAGCTCACTCGTGCTCTTCCGTCCCTTGAAAGTGTAAGAATCCGTCAAGACCTGTGCAGTAAGCTCACATGGACTTCCGGGTTGGGCCAGCCGGGTTGTTATCGCCACAAGTTGACCATCGCTCCCAACAGGAAACCCGACTTCGACCTCAAAGGGGTGGTTGGTGTCAATGCAGTTGGCCCCTGGACCATACTCTTCTTTGGTCCAGTCTCGGTGCCAGCTCCAATCTAGGCCTCCACCACCGTACCCAAGTCCCATGCCGGAGTTGTCGTCTGGCAAATGCAACACAGAGTGGAAAGCATACTTGTTAGCCTCTTGCAAGTCTATTTCAGTACAGCGCACACCGCACACGTCGTTGGCATCGCAGTAGTGGTCCTCGCATTTTGAGATGTCGGAGTTTTGGTGAAGCGAGCCGAGGTAAAACGCTGCATTGCACCCACAATCTGTCTGTGAGATGTCAGTGGTCCATCGCAAGCTCTTCCCAAGCAAAAAGAGCTTGGCATAGTGGCTGTTGCTGAACTGCGTGGGCAAGCAAGTGTCTGAGAAGTATGTTCGGCCCTTCATGAATACGTGAATAGCTCCATCGTTAACTTCCACGCTTCCGGCCAATTCTCCTGGCACATTCCAGTGGGCGTTGGCCGTTTGAATGGAACCTGAGCTGAGGGGGCCCAAGGGACGGCCAAATGCCTTTGCCAGAGAAGCTCCCTTTCTTCCAAGGAGCCGTGGCCCTGAAGTTCGATGGAGCCAGAGCAAACAGGACCTGGGACCAGTCCGTCTAGGGCCAGACATGGTGGGGCGAGTACGGCAGGGGACGCTGGCCTACAGGTTCTGCTGTCGCAACTGCCGAGGTGGCCAAGAGCAAAAGCCGGAGAGCCATGCCTGCAAAGGACAGAAAGCTGCGTCTGAGCATGTTGCACGTGCTTCAGCCTGCCGGTGGCATGTCTTCACAAGGTGGAAGGATCTCACTACCCTCGAGCCAACATCGAGATTTGCACTAGTCTCGTTCCATCACAACGCCCGTTTAAATATGAGCAGCGCAGCGGCAAACTGCATCACACTGCACAAAGGAGGCTGACATGCATGTAAGCAGTCTCCCTGTGCTCTTTCGATCTGGCCCAGTCAGCGAGGGCGGCCAAAACCATGAGCCTTGCAACTCACTGAGCAGACAGGCACGACCGCCAACCAGCCATGCCATTGGCCTCCAAGCGCGGTGTGGACATATCCTCGGAGAGTCTCCAAACTGGTCTGATCTTCCCCTCGCACTCTCAAGTCTGAGTTTGTGTGATTGCCGATGGTTCGGCGATCTTGCCGTCAGGACTCGAAATAATCTGCAGATTCACAAGGTGCAGACAACGGCCGAGGCCCTCGACCTGACTGAAAGGTACGAACCGCTGGAAAAATGCCACAACGCTGTCTCGATAAGTCTGCGACCACGGGATCGTGAAAGCGGTCCGGCCTCAGAGCTTCCAAGGAGGCGAAAAGTTTTGCACGATCCCTTGCACATTTTGGCCCGGATGTTACGTTGCCGATGACTTTTTGAGCCCTGCAAGTGGTGAGGCTTCGTGAGCCACACAGAAAAGCGGGGCAACTCCGAACGGAGCTGGGATACCGAAAACTTTCGCGCAGCTTGGGTGACAGCTGTGTTACTCCCTCCATCGCCTGGCTATCCATGAAGGATAAGCAGCATATGTACTACTCTATGCGGGGCTCGATTGCTCCAATCACTCTGGCCTGGGGCTCCTTGGAAGCCTCCTCTTCCTCCAACACTCCGTAGGACCTCGAAGATCCAGCGTGGATCTCCTCGAGCGACATCCCACGCAAGTCCGGCAGACATCGAAAAGCGAAAAGGCAGGACCCAAAGTTTATCGCGGCGAATATCACGAATGTCGCGACCTTGTCCATAAACAGCAAGGTTTCGAAGAGCTGGAAGATCAGGATATCAATGACGCTGGCCGCAACTTGGCTCTGGCCCATGAAAGAAGATCGGACTTCACTGGGTAGGATTTCGGATACTGCCACGAACTGCACGCCACCATAACCCGCGTTCCAGGACAGTATCCGAAAGAAAACACAGGAAGCAGCAAGCTCAGGTGTCAGAAACGTTGGCAGCGCCAGGTGCAATGCCAGTAACACATCGCATATTGTACAGAAGAAGCTTCCTCCGATAACAAGCCGTCTCCTCCCCAGCAATTCACTGTCCGAGGTGAACATTGCAAGTAAAGCTCCGGTCAGCTTCATCCATCCTATGACTGGCAGCAATTCACCGGGCTCCTGCACGCCACAGACTCGAAGCAAGTCGTATGCATAGGTCTGGATTGCAAAAGTCCCCGTCGCCGAGTTGCATCCTGTCAGACCCAGTGCTATCATCAAAGGTCGCCGATGCTTCTGCCAGTTTAACAAGTTGCGTCTGCAGCAACTGGTTCCGGAAAGGTCTGATGTTACCCCTCCCGTCTGCACTAATTTTCGGAGTTCTGCCGTCTCTGCTTCCAGGCCCAACAAAGCAGAAGCACGGTCCAACCCGCGCACATCTCCTCGCAGTGCGAACCACCTTGGGCTCAAAAGCTGCAGCCCCAAAACTCAAGGCTTTAGGGAACTTGATCCTCGGAAGACGAGCAAACAAACACCGGACCGATGCAGTCCCATTCACATCTCACTCTCCTCTGTAAAGGAAGCCCGAATTCAGCAAAGCACTACCCATCCCACCCGACCCCGCCTTGGGCTCTCTGGGAGGACACAAACGAAAACAAGCTGAACGGCAGCAGGAAGCGCTGCGAAAGCAATGACATGATGCCATTGCCACTCCACCGTTGTGTCTCGTGACGACACATGCAGGCCAAGAAGACACCCCACACACACGGCAACTTCATGCAAGCAAACAAAAAGACCTCGCTGTGTTCGTGGAGCAATCTCGCAGAGGTATGTTGGAGTCACCACGAAGGCTAAGCCCATTCCAGCACCAATCAAGAAGCGGGCGAGGAAGAAGGACGGGACAGCTCTCGTGGTGGACTGCATTGCGACGGAAACCAAGATCAGCACGTCAGCCAGGAAAAGCGCTGCTGAACGACCATATCTATCTGCAATTGTGGGGCCACAAAGCCTAGCTCCAAGACCTCCAATGCTTGCGAAGGACATAACGGCCTCCTGCAAAGAAAAAATGCTGCAATCCTACCAGCCGAAAAACCCTAAAAGGCCTGCGCATGCCTTCTCATGGCCCTAGGCGCTTTTCGTCAAACTCGGCTCCTTGAGAAAGCATGTGCCAACTGCACCACCTGTGTCGCAAAGTTGAAGATCTCTGTCAACGGAATCCAGGATGCCAGTGGTGATGCAAATGTCGTAGCCATTGACGACGCCACTGAGAACATTGAAGAACACACAGCTGAATCTGACGCACCACCTGGACTGTCGCACATGCGAAGCGACAGCAGGGATGGTCGCATCACATGAGATACGCAATTGTCAATGGCCGAGTCTCTGTCGCGGCTGCAGCTTTGCGGGCTTCCTGAAGATACATGAGCACGGATAGCTGCCCCAGTCTCTCTCCACAGCTGCTTCAATTATCGTGCCTTGTTTTCTTCGTTTCTGCGGTGCAGATCTCGGGCATCTCTTTGGTGTGGGTCGTTGGGTTTCCTCTTCTGTGGCCTTTTTCTGTACGTGCTCTCGGTTCCTATTACTTCTACTACAACCATGACCACCAACATCAGTGGTACCATGGCCTTTGATAGAGTTTTAAAGCTTAAGACGCTTGACGGTTCGGTGCGACAGCCAGCTGCTCAAAAATTTTACGGTCGCTAGTGCGGAATCGTGCAAATTTCCACGGTGCTGGCTAAAAAGGAACTGGAGTTGCAAATGTTGGGGGGAATGCGAACTTGTGCATGCTTGCGTCGCGACAAGATACTTTGCAGTTTCCACTTGCAAGATCCGTGCTCCCCGCGAGCTCAAGCAGGAGTAGTTGCAGCAGCCGCAGTAGCAGTAGTAATGGTAGTTGTAGTAGTAGTAGTAGTAGTAGTAGTAGTAGTAGTAGTAGTAGTGGTAGTAGTAGCAGTGTAGTGGTCGTCGTCGTCGTGGTAGTAGAAGTCGTAGTAGTAGTAGTAGTAGTAGTAGTAGTAGTAGTAGTAACGGTAATAGTAGTAGTAGCAGCAGCAGCAGTAGTAGTAGTAGTAGTAGTAGTAGTAGTAGCAATAGCAGTAGCAGCGGTAGTAGTAGTAGTAGTAGTAGTAGTAGTAGTCATAGCAATAGTAGGAGTGGTAGGAGTGGTAGGAGTAGTAGCAGTGGTGGTAGCAGTAGAAGGAGTAGTTTTGTCACCCACCTGGCACGGCCATGCCAGCTCCGCGGGGCTACTAGTAGTAGTAGTAGTAATAGTAGTAGTAGTAGTAGTAGTAGTAGTAGTAGTAGTAGTAGTAGTTTTTTAATTTTTTTTAACGCACCTTTTTGCGACTGCGCAAGAGGAGTCCAGGTCCGACTACAGGGCATTGGACGGGGGGTGCTCAAGCGGGACGCGCTGGCAGGCGGCTGTTGGCGGGCGCCTGCAGCCAGCGGCCGTCGGCGAGGAGCTCGTGCAGGGCAGTAGTAGTAGTAGTAGTAGTAGTAGTAGTAGTAGTAGTAATAGTAGTAGTAGTAATAGTAGTAATTTTTTGTCACCCACCTGGCACACCTCTGGCAGCTCCGCGGGGACTAGAGGGTTGCAAGTCACAACGGGAGCAGCATCAGAGAAAAAACCACAACAGAAGGTAGGGCCACAGAGTACAGCTGCTCCCATTGATCTGGAACTCGAATCTACCACTACTCAACTACTCACACTTTTCAAATCGGCGTAGAGCCACACTACCTAGCAAGGAATGTTCCGTCAGTTCATATCGCGTGCGTAATGTACAAACCCAAAGCAACCTTGTCCCCAATTCACATGCACAGCGCGAAATAGCACAAGTACATGCAGTGTGTCAAGCACAAATTCGACTGCACCACACTACTATCTTACTACTCTACACAGCCGCGTTCACTCACGTGGAAACACCGAGTCAAAGCAGAGCCAAGCAAGGTCCAGCTTGGTCCTGTTTTAGACTCAGTGATGCGTGCAGTCAGTTCGGCGCTGTCTGGATCCGATGTCCAGAGCGTGCCACAGCACGCGCTTGTTTCCCAGAATGTTACTCAGCGACTCGTCGAGTTCTCAGAGGCTCCAGAAAAGTTGGTACCAGCAAGCCAGCTCACCCAAGCAGTTTCGCGTTGCGCAGCGAGGAAAGTGCCAGAAGCTGTAGGATCAGCGCCGTTTCGCACCGTTGTCCTCCCCATTTAGGAATCCATCAGGGTTCCTCGACAGCGAGCAGGTTGGGCTAAGTGGCGCCTCCAGCAAGATCTGTAAGCAGGATCCTCCCATCAAGGAGCAGCTCTGCAAGCGCGGCGCCGTCAGTAGGGGCATGTAGGCCGCGTTTGCTTCAAGCACGACGGTCATTGGCCTCGTCCTGTCAAGCGATGGGCTCGGAGACAGGCTTCATCGTTGTTTGCACTCACAACAGTGTCACAACATTGGCACAAAGTCTCCGCCCACCACGCACGCACGGGTAGTTTTTGATGCAACCCACTGGCGTGTTTGACTCATCTTGTGGCCTATGGCCTGCAGGGAGGTTGTGGCAAAGCGTAGTCATCTCACCAAGTCTGGGCGATATATCATACGGGACTGCTGCAGTGAAGAGCGCTGTGGGCCCAGCTGTTTGTTGTCGGCAGATAGTCAGAGACACAGGGGAGCCATGGCAAGATTTTTGCAGCTCGGTAAGGCTCGGCTCTCAGTTTACCAGTCCCCGAAGAAACACAGACCCAAAAGATAAAGGCAATGGTTTAGTTATGGCCTCAGCCTGCCTTGCCACGCCGAGGCAAGTGTCTTACACACATGCATGCGAGAGACAAAGGACCGGACAAAGGATGAACGCAGCGCAGGGAAGTGAGGTCAGGCAGGCAGGCAGTGCAGCAGTGCAGTGAGAGGCAAGGGCATGCAAAAAAGATAAGGCAGGCAGTGCAGGACATGCAAAGAAAAGGAATTCAAAAGGAGCTCCGTGCTGGAGGTCCAGCTCAGGCAGTTTTGGACCCCACCACAGTTCGTCTCATCATCCACTCCACCACCGACGAAGACCACGGGGTGCATCCATCACCGAGAAATCCCTCAGCATTGCAAGTCACCATCCGACGAGAACCACGGTACGACGTCAGAGTCATCGGAATCCGAGCAAGAGTCAGCATCAGCTTCCGTCGGAGCAGTTTCCCTCTGTACCTTAGTGGCGCACGGTGTATTGCTGTCCTCGTCGGAATCCAGGACTACGATGGGTCTAGGGTCGGGGTGACAACTGGGGGCATGGAGCAAGTATTCAAGAACTGTTTTATTTCGGGCGGGCGACTGCAGTTTGGGGGCAAAGGTCTGGGGTGGGTATGCTGTGAACCCCAGCTCACCTAGTTGGACGCACACCAGATCGTCAGGGCTTTGTTTACGATGTAGGTGAAAGGCGCTGATGCTAATGCGGCGTGTGTCACGTGTCCCGTCCTTGGTCCTTAGATGAGCCCCGCAGTGCGGCTGTCTCGCATCAAAAGACATAGGGCCATCCTGCAGGTTCACCTCAACTCCTGGCCAGAGGAGTCCTTCAAAGTCCTGAAAGACTGTGCCTGAAGGTTGGTGCACCCAGAAACCACAGCTACAAGGTCCTGAACCTGAAAGAACAACACTGTTTCCGACGGTGCCCATGTCCCTATGAACCTCAAGTTTCCCTCCTACTCTCACAGCCAGACTACTGAATTGCAGCTCTGGGAAGTGTCTCCTGACGAATGTGGTCAAGAGGGTAGTGGTGTAGGGTAGTGTGTAGGTTGGCTTGGTGAGGGAGCTAGATCGTGGCGATAGCCCGAAGACAATGCATCCAGAGGGCTTGGGGGGGGGAGACCAAAGTTTATTAGGGATGCAGGACGTCAGGGCAGTGAGGTCTAGGTATGGTGGTGCAGTGGGGCTGTCTCGGAAGCTTTCGGACAGCTCCCCTGCAAGCCTTTCAACGCTTGACACCTCAGAGGCCATGAGTAACAAAGTTAGTTGACAGTACTTGTTGGGGACATAGGGAAACTGCGAGCCGAGGTGCTGAGGGAGAGGCCAGCTAGAGACGGTGATTAAGAGCGACGAAAGCACCGACAACCAACAGCTGAGTAACATGAGCATGTGATCATGAACGGGCGCACACATCAGCTATTAGGCAGCTGCTTTGCACGACAGGGCAAAAGTCCGGCCAGTCTAGCAATGAATTCCTATGCACAATCAAGGGCAGCGGGAGCAATCCCGCCTCATGAGATCTGCTGGACGGTGTCACGGGCAAAAGATCGCAGCCGTAAAAAGATGAAGTGAACAGACCCAGAAACACTTATAAGAAAAGTTAAAGCGCAATATAAAGAAAGTGGCGACGGCTGCAGCAGCAAGGCAAACAAGTGAAGTCCAGCATGAATTCCAGTCCGCAAAAGAACATGCAACAGTCAGCGCAGAGGGAGCGCGGGCAGTACACGCCCAGCACTCCTGGGGCAGCTGTTATCAAAATTCTCGGGGACTGCGAATAGTCAGGGCTCATGGCCGGGACATCGTGTGCAACAAGTACGGCATACAAAAATTCATAGGTTAAAACAAAAACAGGAAGTTACACCTGTCCTGGCAGCATGAGTCCTAAGATTCCCGGGGCGAGAAACGCTCAGCGGAACAGCGGGATGTTCACGCGTCTGCCTTCCCCCAAGTCAACGTAGACTGACGCCTGGCCTCCATGTGATCCAGCTTGTGGCGGGGGAGCATGTGTCTGAGGAATGGCTGTCTGCAAGTGCAACTGGCGTCGATCTCCTGGGTGCGCTGGCGTGAGCATTGTAGGAGCCTCGTACGCCGGAGGCGGCGGAGCACTGGACATCAGGGGCACCGGCGGTCTCTCACAGTACTCCTTCACGGTGGCGACTTGTTCTGCGGTGTTCCCAAGGGCCACTGCTAGGTTGTAGAGGCCGTCCTTGAGAGTGCCGGTCTCGCCCTGGATGTAGCTCGCCGAGGCGAGTAGCTCCTGCCCCAACTGGTCCACTTGCTTGCTCAGTGAGGTGAAGCTGTCATAGTCACACGACGTGACTTTCTTGATGACTTCCTTCACGCCGTCAACCAGGTATTGCTGGTTTTTGTCTGTGGTCTGCTCCCACTGCGCGTGCTGGTTCTTCATGATCTGGACCGTCGCGCCGATCTGCTTGACCACCTCCTTCCAGTGGGCGTCCGTCATCTGTCTGATGCTCTCCACATTCGTAGACAGCGTGCCGACTGAGGAGACGAGGGTCTTCACCTGGGGCATCAAGATTCCAAGGATGCCTTCGATCCCCGTCGTCCGCTGTGAGATGATCTTCACATCCCCATTGACCGAAGTGACATCGTGCTTGATCTGCTTAGCCTGCCCGACCACAGTGCCAAGCTCCTCAAGGTGCTTCATCACCGCCGTTTGGAAGCTGCTGGCTTCTTCGGTTTGCTTGTCGACCAAAGTCCTTAAGCTTTGCTGCGCAGCTGCCACATCCTCCACTTGCTTACTGAGGGTCGCCTGCAGGTTCTTGATCTCCTTTTGGCAGCCCTGAAGAGCAGCAAAGAGTGCCTCAGGGCTAGGCTTTGCTGTCGGCGGCGAGCCTGCTGCCGGGGTTGGTTTGTCCTTGGCGTCCTTGGTGTCAGTAACCCCTTTGGTGACACCTTGCTTGGCAGGGGGTCAGTGCTGCTTGCAGGCACCGACTGTGAAGCTGTCGTGCCAGAGGTATCGGGCGGCACCTTCCCATCTTTCTGTGACTCAGTCTGGGACTGAGGTCCTGTGGGCGAGGCGGCCCCCTTCCCTGACTCTTGAGCATCACTGGGCAGAGATTTGCCCTGTGCACTCCCATCCTCCACCTGAGAAGTTGGCCCCGTCGTCAGATCTGGGCTTGTAGAAGAGGCAGGTGTAGGCATAGGCTTCGAGGTTACTGTAGGGCTCAACGGACCGTTCATCCAGTTGTGCACCGCTCTCACTAGTGCAACCACGGCTAAGGTCACGGCGACAGTGATGACTTGCTTCACCAGTCCTGGGACATCCCACGTGTCTGCGGCGGCGGCTGCAGCAGCTGCAGTAGCTGCGGGCAGCTCTGGGAGCTGGGGAGGCATCGGAGGAGCCGGGGCGGCAGCCATGACCAGAGGCCTAAGAAACTACAGAAGGCTACCGGGACTTCGAGGTGACGAGCTGCAGAGTGAGTTGGCTTACAGGGGGCCCTTGAAAGAGCCCAGACCCCCGGAAGACTGGTCGTCAATAGCAGCTCGCAGTGGCAGCCAAACCCAAGTTGCATCAGTGGCTGGGGAACTTCACTAGGGTGGTCCTACGGGTCGGGGACATCGAGTGACCGCAATTGAACAACTACCAGAAAGAGTCTGGCGGGGGTCCTGGTGAATCAGCTAGGGGAAGATAGGCACGAGAATAATCCATGCGCCGCATAAAATAATGAGTCTGCGGGTGGTCAAGAGCCTCTTTGGCGGCTTTGTCCGCGATTTCGTTGAGGGCATGCCCCTTTACATGTTTGGCGCGGACGCGCCCACGACACCTATGCCATAGCATACATAGTCCTGCCTGGAGCGAGACATGAGCGAAGCCGACCGTCCCTCCCTCAAGAACTTGGAGGACATAATAAGCAGAGTCTGTGATCAGCTGCACAGGGATGTTTGGGAACCTGTCCAAGAGCTGAAGGCTTTTCTCGACTGCCTTAATGGCCGCTAAGAGTTCGGCACGGATGTTCGTTGCGGGCGCTCCTTGAAAAGGATAACCGCAAACTACAACGTCCCGAGGCACTTCACCGTAAGGCGGGATAAGTGCGACCCCGCCTCCAAGCTTCCGGCCTTTTTTGCTGCCGTCGCAGGCAACACAAAAACATGCCACCTCGTCATGCGTGTCAGGGCTCTCTACAACCTGGTACGACGATTGGTACGGCGGGTCAATGGGTGGGTGGGTCTGAGGGAGGAGCCAGAAGCGATCGCCGGTCCTGAGAAGGCACCTATGACAAAGGTCAACCTGGTGCAAGTTTAGGTAGAAGGAGTCGGGGAGTAGATTCTTGATGCTAAAAACCTCGAGTGTGAACTCCTGCCAACGTTGCCTGTTGGCCGCCATCAGTTCCCATGTTAAAGGGTCACCGGAGTGTCGGCACCTACGCCACAGTAGGGTCAGGCTGTAGGCCGCATTAGGCCAACGCCCAACTTTCCTGCGTACTGAAGGGAATGTCCGACGCCAGGCCTCGTCACGCACTTGAAGCGCAATCTGGATCGGGCGCTTCAGGTGAGGGTCGAGACGGGCCGCGTGCCCAGTAGTTCATGAAGGACCGGAGATGGATGGCATCCCATGGTCTATTCTATGTCCACAGGCTTGGGCCGCCATCTTGGCGCCACGACGCCGAGCGACCCAATTCTCGCACGACGTTTGCAATGGATCGTGCGCCAAACGAGTCATCGAGACCAAGAAATGTGTTTGTAGGGTCCTTAGCTGTTTGGCTACTGCAAAGAGTGGGCGCACAGCAGCTGAGAGCCACCGCCACCTGCTGGTCACAAAGGAGTCCAGTAGGTGCAGTCGCTTCGTGAGAGGGCCTTTGGCTCGGGCTAAAAAGCCCAGATACCCGAAAAACGAGTTAGTAGCCATTCGCAATCTTGCAGCCAGTGTCATCTGGCACGTCACTGCAAACCCCACGAGGATGCCGAGGAACACAAAGGAATCGACTTCTTTGATGGGTTCAGGAAATCCCCTGGGCGGGACTCGCTCAGGAGGGAGATCTGGCGAGCGTATGAGCTGGCATTTGGCCCTAGCTAGGTGAAGGCCAATCGCCTGAAGACAGTCCTGCAAGGAGCCCAGCATTCGCGCGAGTTGTGCCGTGTTTGTAGCAAGTAGTAAAATGTCGTCTGCGAAAATTATCGCAAACAGTGGGGTGCCATCGCTTGATCTGACCCAGGTAACTTCTGTGCGTGCCCATTCTTCCAGAAGGGGAGTCAAGTAGTAGTCTAGGGTTCGCGCAAACAGTTCCGCGCTGTATGCGGACCCCTGGAGCACACCTCTCTTGAGCCGTTGCCTCCACGTCACATTCGCGAAGGAGAGGGAGACTTCAGCCTGAGTGATCAGCCTTAGTAGCAGGCGTGCCTCTTGGTGTGCCCCCAGCGAGGACAAAAACCGTGCTACAGACTCATGACTCAAGGTGTCGAACGCTGCTTGAATATCCAGTTTGCAAGCCAGCAAAGGTAGGCCCCATTGTCGAGAAAGATGGATCAAATGTTTTAGGGCTACTGACCCATCCAGGGCCTGGGCTCCAACCTGCGAAGATAACTGTCCGCTGGCCATATGCGGGAACACAGAGCGCAGGCGTAGCAACAGCACTTTGGTGAAGAGCTTGCTAAGTGTAGCTGCTAGCACGATGGGGCGATACTCTTTGGGCTCGCGGGGCTCCTTAGTCTTTGGGAGCAACACGACCTGAGACGACATCCAGTTGGCAGGCATTTCAACGTTCTCGAGTAGAATGTCGTTGAGAAGCTCCAACAGATGCTCACAGGCTTCGGATTGGAGGGCTGCTGACCAAAACTCATACGGAGCAGCGTCATTACCACAACTCTTCCCGCTCTTGGTGAGAGTGAGGACATGCTCAACTTCCTCCCTGGTGATGAGGCTCGGACCTGGCATCCTGCATCCCACTGCTGTGTCGTAGAGGTGCATGGGGGAGGTGAGTTTAGCAGGTTCTTCCGGGGCGTACTTCTGCCTATAAAAAGCTTGTAGGCCGCCGACTGCAGGGCCTGTTCCTCCCACTCTAAGGCAGTACTCGAGTTGAGAAGCGGAAATGCTCTGCTTGCGCCTGAAGTAGCTGATGACCTGAAAATCCCCAGCTGCAGCGCGGTCCAGAAGGTCCGTACGCCAGCTCTTTTTGGCTTCAGCTCGCTTCTGGACTATTTCCCGCCCGAGTTCCCGCTTCTCAGCGGGGTTAGTCGAGCTCTTTCTCGTCCTGATCAATTCCTTGATTTCGCTCGTATCAACAAAACGAAAACGACGAGGCCGAAAACAGGAGCGGCGGGACACATCAAGAAAGTCGGCTTCGCAGAGGTCCTGTGAACTAAGGTCCGCTCTCTCAGCGATCTCATTTAGAAGGGGAACAGCTTTGGTGTAGTCAGCCAGCCACTTTCCGCACTGGGATCGGCGTTGTCGCTGTCGCTTCGTCGTCTTTCGTTGGGAACGGCCTCAAGAGACCCCCGGCCTGGCTCCTCAAACAAAACAGGGATGAAAAAATCTGACGCGCACAAACAGCAAACCTGCAAGGCACACCTAAGGAAAACATAGGGACCAGAACAGAGAAGAGGAAGGGCAGCGAGGGAGAGAGGAAGAGACAAAGGAGGACGAGAGAAGAAGGGAAGAGAGGGAAGCGGGAGAGGAGAAACCCTCAGGCCATCAGAAAACTTGAACTGAACCCTGGCGCATGCACTGATCACTCACTCTTTCAACAAGCACTTGCACTGAGCAGTGAAAGCTGCGACGCGAGACGGCTATTCACCGACGCGGAGCGAAAGAGTTAAAAGAAGAGACCAGCGCACTAGACCCGGACAGGAACGAACAAGACCATGAACATGGATTGCGTACCTTCATAAAAACAGCAAGAGAACAACACCGGATCAACATGCAAGGACTCTGGGAAAACAATCGGACGATGAGAGCAGATGCATCACCGAGCGCGCCTACGGTCATTGCTACGGCCCCGCTCCCTACCACCGCCCTGGCCCCTGCCGTTCCCCGAGCCACGACCCCGGCCACCGCCTTTGCCTCCACCGTTGGTGGAGGACAACCCAGCCGCCTCCGATCGAGCCCGCTTCCTCCGCATCTCCCCTTGACTGCGTGGCACCCAAAGCTGGGGTCCATTAGGATCACCACCAGCTTCCTTCATCTTGGGGGCAACTGTGGACCGGATGAGGTGATTGATCCTAAGAGCTTGCAGCCCACACTTCAACCGCACATCAAAAATGTGGGTTTCCCCCCACTTGCCCCCGATCGGGTACACTCCGGAAATTCCATCTTTGAAAAAACCAACGTCCCACTCAGTCTTCACGTGTTCGAGGACACGAGATAGTCCAGGAGATACGGCCTCCCACATCAACTGGCCGACGCACTCTTTCAAAGTCCAGAATTCCCGGGTGCCGGCATCAATCTCCCTGGCACGATTGACCAAAGCTGGGATCCCTTTGGCCCGCACTCGGGTTAAGGTATCCCACTCGGAAACCCGATCTTCGAGGAACTCCAGGCGAGCATCTACGTTATCAGCGGCCGGCATGGCTGGTGCGGGGGGAGCGCGTGCGCAAGCGAAGAAGTCAGCGGGCAGAGAGCCAAAACTCTGCATTGGGGGAGACTAGCTACCACAGGACCAGTACTTATTCAAAACAAAAGAAAAAGATTTGCCACTTACCTTGTCTGTAACAGCAGTCCGGGGCATGCAATCAAGTCCTCTGCCACCAGATGCCAAGCTTTGTCAAGAGCCTGCGCCACCAGCAGACAAGGCGAAAACCGGAACATTTAACCGAGGTTTCAGCAGACCATGCGGAGCCCGAGACCAAAACGGAGGACAGAAGAAAAAGGAAACATGGACAGACAGAAACAACAAAAGAACGCACGACTACCAAATCCAGACCGACAGCACCCCCGCCACCCCACCCACCGTACCAACAACGAGACACCCCACCCACGACCCCGCCAAACGAGACCGTAAAAAAACCGACGAAACGAACATCCTCCGAGACGGGTCGGTGCAAGCACCCGGTGGTCTCCTGCAAGCAGGACCTCCGCCACGATGGGACCACGTCAAGGGGCTAAGCGGGTGGGGGTCCTTGCAAGCAAGTCCTCTCGCACCCTCAACAAGAAATCACCACTGCGACTTACCTTCCACAGCGACGTTCATGAGCAATGCGACTCCCGATTTGCCCACAAATTTTACCACATACGGAACAAGTGCGGTTTGCGACCTCAGATCCACGACACTCTTCTTCATGCTTGACCCTGGCATCCACCGTTTGAAACGAACACTTACACATATGGCATTCACGATTAGCCTTAACCGACCCTCTGCACTGGGATTCATGGCTCTGCTGTTTGGCCACAGCGAATGCAGATTTGCACCGGGGGCAACGCCAGGTGGTGAGAAGGGAAGGTGCATCATCAGGCCGACTTGAACACGATCCACGGTGCTTGAAAATCGTTTCGTCCGTGACCCCCAGAGGAAACTGTTCTTCACAAAACGGGCAAGTCCTTGTCAACTCGTCTGAACCACGGCAAATCCTCTCGTGCATACTCCTTATTTCTCGCGCATGATGGGTGTGTTTACCGGGCTGGAGAACAGCGTGCTTCCACACAAAAACTTTACCACAAAGATGTCGACACGGAATGTTGGCAGGAGCCGCAGCCTCCACCTTACAATGTGCCTCGTGACCTGCTAACTGACGCGCATACGACTCCCCCGAAAAAACTCGTTTACGACGCCAACAATGATCCACGAGCAAGGGGTCCAACGGTGGGGGTGCACAAGCGGGGAGCAGCCATCGTAGGGATTGTTTGGTTTGCTGTCCTCGCGCACCCAGACCGGCAAGTTCGTCCGCCTTGTCGTTGCCAACATTTCCCGAATGACCTTTAACATAGGAAAACTGCACTAGTCTCACAGCCGCCACTCTTGCAAAAACGGTTCGAGCGTACCTAACTAAGTCAGAGTTTTCAACTGGCTCACCAGTTCCAGTGATGGCATTGAAGGCATAGGAGGAATCGTAGAAGATGGTAGCGGGCAAATCACTGGGGCCCGGGGCCTCGGATTCCAACCACAGGAGCGCCTCTACCATGGCACTAAGTTCTCCAACATTGTTCGTTGCCACTATCGCACCCATAAAACGCTTGTCGTGGGGGGAAAGACAGACCGGGCCGAAAAGTTCAAAACTGGGTTCGAGCGAAGCAGAAGCCTCCCAAATGGCCACTCCCCAACCTGCAAAAGGAGCTCCCGGACTGGGACCTGCTCCATCCGTGAACAAACGCCAACTGGTAAATTCAGAAGGTGGGTCTGCTGAAGGGGCCTGGAGGACAGGGTAGGATTGCATTTTGGCAAGGTCATCCAAAGTGTGTGGTTTGGCAGGGCATCTGTGCTTTGATTGATGACGACCATATACGAAAACTTGTCCACACAGGGGACATTTGGAAACGCTAACAGTGGTGAGAGCTTCATTTTGGACAGCGTGCGTCCCATCATAGTGTACTTGCAATTCCCTAGCATTGTCGGCGACGAAGGAGCAAGCTGGACACTGTAGCTCCACCGGGGCTTGGGGGGGGGGAGACCCCTGGGGGGGCGCCAGGTTTGACCATTGTAAAACGGGGTCACCGACCTTCCATCCATCAAGGATTACACACTGTTTGCTGGACAGACGAGTGCGGGGCAGAGCCTGGTTGATCAACCTAATCCAATTCTTGGTCGGTTTCTGTGCTAATCTAAACCAGTCCATAACCGAGATGTTGTATTTGGACAGCAGCCATTGTACCCAACTTGGGAAGGTGTAGCGAGCCGAGCGATGCTCTTCCAATCCCTCCATCCACCCGAAAACCGCCATCTTGGGAAGACGATCACAATTCATCCTGGCGACATGCCCCAACCAAAGTAGAATACTTCTGTGCATTAGTGTAGTGAAGGAATTCCACTGCACCATCTGTCGCAATGCCTCGTCCGAGTAACCATACTCACGCATGTTATACCTGTCCACACCCAAACAACGACGGATGCCCCGAGCCATGACTTGATTAGCTTTCCGCTCCTGTGCCAAACTCCACACCCTAGATTTGCCGCAAGCCAGCAACGTACCCTCAACGACCGCACGCATAACACGTAGCCTTTTGGTAGTATGAAGACCCATGCCAGCTCCCCTGCCGTGACTTGTACCCAGAGACCAATACTTAGCCACCCGCTTAACAGCATAGAAACCAGCCTGTACACGTTTTTTGGTTTCTGCCCACTGGTCAGCATTGTCACAGTGAGTGGCGCCCAAGTGTTTGAGGGTCTTAGCTTCAAACTCATTCAAAACTTCCCAAATTAATCTCCCACCAGGAACCAGCATGAGCTTCTCCCGTTTACCCCGATGTTCCTCCTGCTCCCAATCACGCAATGTTTGCACAAACAACTGTTCCGCCACTCGGAGCTCCTCCACCCATCCCAACAAGGCAGTATCATCGGCAAATTCCACGTCCCCAACGACACTGGACTTGACACCCCGAGAGGAATGACGTGCATGGCCTGATCTGACCAGTTTCCCATCAACCTTGTATGACCAGGTAATGCCAGGTGTCCCTCCAGACGACTCCGCGGCACGAGCCCGACGACCTCTAAAGGTTAGCATGATAGCATGATGAAAAATGGAAAACAACACAGGAGATGAAGGACATCCCTCACGCAGACCTCGCTCCGTGAGCCAGGCGGTAGAGTAACCATTATGCACAAACGCCCTGAAGGAAGTGTGGTTGTGCAATGCTTTAAGCACTTTCAAAAAAGAGTCCGGAATGCCGAGACGGGAAAGCAGATGCCAGAGAGCTACTCGACAGACACGCGTATAAGCACGGACAATATCAAAACATGTCATTCCCACACACGCAGACTTGGCAGAGACCGAGACCTCCTCAAGCAGCCGACGAACAAACTGTTGCACATCATCAATGCCCCGACCGGGGCGAAAACCATTTTGTTCTTCCGGCATCCATGTTTCCAGCCACTTGCTCAGACGGCTGGCAGCAATGCGGGCCACAATTTTGGCTGAAACTGAGAGCATGACCAGATTCCTATAATTGTTTTTGTCATCTTTGGACCCTTTGTTTTTGTACATTGGGATGCACACGCCGTCCTTGGAGGACTGACACCACTTGTCAGCCTCGTGTCCGTTATCCGAGAGCCTAGCATCATTCCACATATCAAGGACCACCAGAAAAACCGTGTCTTGAAGATCAGAGTTCGCAAACTTAATCATCTCCACCGTGATGTCATCTGCCCCACCGCGTTTGCCCACCTTCATTTTGCGCAGCGCGTCACGAAACTCTTGCCTAGTAGGCTCCTCCCCTAAAACGGAAATTTCTGCCGTGGCGGGTGGAATGAAATCCCAGACCTCTTCAGAAACTTCGCCCTCACCTGACTGGATGTTGTGCAGAAAATCCTTCCAGGCCTCCCTTTCCCTGACAGCATCACCGCAAGTGCGCAACGAACCGCCATATGCACGACATGACTCCCTGAAGCCCAACTGACGACACACCTGCCAAAAGGCATAGTCATCCCCCTCCTCCCCCGCACGATTGGCCCTAACCGCCAGATCGCTCCACCAACAGGCTTCCCACCGGCGCTTGGCGCTACGGAGGTCAGCACTGAAACGACGACGAATGTCCAGAAGAGAATCTACCTGTGAAGATCCCTGTCGACGAGCCTCCCGAAGGTTTTCCTCAGCGACATGGACAGCAGTTTCCAGCTCGAGCAGCTCCGATTCTTTACCCTGCAACCAAGGTTTTCTGTGCCGTGGGGGGGTGGGACCAACGACCTGGAACGCAGACTTCCTCATGACCTCGGCCACCAAGTCCCAATCCAAAAACTGGCCTGAAACCCTTTCCAACTCCTCGGAAACAACATTGGCATACTCACGCCGCAGAGCCGCAGCTTCCTCCGAACAGCCCAGGAAACGCAAAACATCCGGACGAGGGGCCCGCTCTCTCCTACGCTGTGCTTCCCCAGCCCAATCTTTCCCAACCCGAATAATAAGCTCCACCGGATCATGGTCCGTATGCTCAAGCCAGGGGGCGGACGAGAACTTGCGCGGACGACCTTGCCTCGATGTCTTGCTACAACGCTGGTTGGCAGCAAAATGCACATTAAAGACCGACTTGATCCATTTCTTGTCAACACCACGGACCAGAAAGTGATCAAGTGTGTGGGCGGTGCCAAACCGATTGTGGTACCAAGTAGCTTTATGGCGTTGGGGTGTGAAGGAGCCTGCTACCACAAGGTGTTCCTGTTCACAAAACTGCAGCAACTCCTCCCCGCCACGCGTGCGCCTATCGTCCCCATACGGTCCCAAAACGTGACGCCAAGACGAGTCTTTGGTAGGCCCCACTTCACCGTTGAAATCCCCACCAACCACGAGCCGACGCCGACTGGACGAGTGGTCAAGGATCAAACTCAACTGTTCCCTAAAAGCCTCCCTTTCCTCCAACTGCGTTTTCGATACCAGCGGGGCGTATACCGGGACCAAGAGAAAGCCTGGCTTCCAACCTGAGCCCGGGATAGACACTCCGAACGCCCTGGGATTACCCGACCACCCACGCCCCTTAACCAAGACCGAACCCCCTTGCCTCCACCTGGCGGCCAAGAAAGGGTTAAGCGCTACACCTACCCGGCCCTCGTGGATAAGGAGCCAGGAGGCACCACCCACCATAACCTCACGAAACCCATCTTCTGGAAAACGTAAATCAGTGAGGAGCGCACAGCTCCACTGTCGCTCTGCGACCAGACGCATGATTGCCTCCACCTTGCCGGCAGGATCTTTTCCCTGAGGGGCGCCCAAACCCCTCGTGTTCCACGTACCGATGGTCAGATGGCCCTGTTTACGCACACCCCAGACGGACGAAGCCCTAAAGCAGGCGAGTTTCCTTTTATGCTTCCTGGCCACAAGTGCTTTCTTTGAACGCCGCAACCGTTTGTGAAAGTTCCTCCGCTGGCACCGAGTCAAACAGGATGGAGGAGGGTCCAATGTAGCCGCCTTACGCTTCGGAATCTGGGAGAGAGCCCAAGAGCCGGTGCATTGTTTCGCCTGTTCAACTAATCCATGTAACTGATTTTCAATGACATCCGCATGCTCCCAAAGGACAGTTTCGATCTGATCGCTGAGCCACGACGGACCAAACTCAATAAGCTGTTCCCAAACAGCATCAGGCTGTAGACTCACCCACTCGGTACCAATAGACTCTTCCGCGAGCTGGCGTAACCAGCGACAAAATCCGACACGACCGCCCCGCGATGAAATCCACTGCCCCAACGAACGATGAAGACTCGGACTCCCCACTGGCGTGGAATTGACAAAGGAAAAGAAAGGGAACTGGGCCCCTGCCAAACAACCACCGGGAAAAAGGTTCGAAACACCCTGCCGCTGACCAGAGGGGGGAGAGACGAGTGCAGGAGACGAGGAGGAAGGAGGGGGAGGAACCGGAGAAGGAAGAGAAAGGAAAGGAAACTGGGATCCCATGACAAACAAACCGGTGCCAGGCAAACTTGGTGTTGTGTAAGTGGCGTCAGAGCTGACAGAGCCAGACAACTGTGGACCACAAGAAGAAGACAACATGGAACAACAGCCCCCAGGCTGGTCAGACCCAGGGCTGACAACCTCAGGACCACCAGTGGTTCGGGAGAGGGGACACAAGGCCCCCCAACGGTCCACCCCACTTTGGTCACAAGATGCCAAACTGGAAATGTCCAGAGCATTAGCTGAGGTTTGGCGCTGCCGCGCAGAAAGCTGACTGTCAGAAACATGATACAACTGCGCACTCTCCGCTGAGAGTGTGGCTCGGTCCCCGACAGACACCACTGTCATAACATCAACACGCACTGGGGAGATCCCCGGACCGCCGAGTTGCTGACATAAAGGAACCCTGCGCACCTTTCAAACTCAACGAGGAGGCTCGCGCCGTGGTCCGGCGCTGTCGCTTCCGACGTCCTCTCCACACCCCTACGCACAAGGTAACCAAGCGATGATCCGAGTCGAGGATACGGTCAGACTCGTCAACGACTTGCATGTCCCAAGTTTCCTGGTGAGGAACACGGTACAAAATGTAGTCTATGCGCGAGGCTGACCCTCTTGTGTTGCTCCATGTGTGTGTCGTGGGCAGCGTGTGCGTCAGACCAAGGTCGCGCTCCAACAAATTTAGCAGTGCGCTACGTTCATCTGATGACTCTGCCGTGGTGCGGAACAACTCGTAGTTCAAATCAGCCATGACAAAAATGTTGTCGTGGTACCGGGAGTTCCCAAGGAGCCGGCACATGCTGTGAATTTGGTCCTGCCAGATGTCCTGAGAGTCTTGCCTGTTCAGGTACGGCAGGTGCGTTGACAAAGCAAAGGTGGAGACACCATTAATTCGAAATTGCACGCACATGCCACAGGTCTGTATTGAAATGTGTGCCACATGCGGGGTGAGGTATGTGGGAAAGCCCACAGCTTGACAGTGATGGCTTCCTACGGGGTTTCCTACCACAAATGTAAAGGACTGGTTTTCGACCCAAACAACCCGATTTTCCCACTTCCCCGATTCAACATCTCCGCATCCTCCGAGCTCTTGCAATCCAACTAAATCGAACCCACTCAAATTAAGTAGGTCAGCCGAGTTGCAGAAGTGATCGAGGCTCTTTCCTCGAACATTCCACGTTGCAACGTGAAACGGTGTGCGCTGGGGTCCTTGTTCGGCGAGTCAACGACTCGGCCTCATGTCTAGGTGCGGGCCACGTTCCCAAAGCTTAGACAGCTCAGACTTCGGCAGCCCCGTGATTTGTTCAAAGCGCTTCGCCAGCAAGACCCAACCCGTGTGATCGCCCCTATTGTCGCTCAAGTAAATGTCCTCAGGGTCTGCATCGGCTGGTAGGCGCGAGGCTTCCGCCAGAGCTTGAACCCTACCAACATACACACGTCCTCGCCAGTCGATCTCCGGCGTCTCACGTTTGCGCCCGTCCCCGTACTTGACATGAATGTAAAACTCCTTCGTCTGGACGAGACTGCGGATTTTGTTGCGATCTTCTGGGGTTCTGTTTTTGGTCATCCACATCACGTTGTTCTTACTTCCTGTGATGCCAGACATGAACTTCGTTCCCTTGAGTTTGTCGAGGGTGTGAGTTTGGAAAGCACGCTGAGCTCGGATGTTCTGGGCAGAAGGAGGAAACTTCAGAGCAACACGGCAGACATTCACTCGAACATACGGAACTATGACCTCATGGAGCCTGTCTTCCATTTGCAGTCGCTGAAAGATCTGCTTGACCTGATGCTCAACGTCCGTCCGGCGGGCCTCGTTCCAACCGCCGATCACAAGCTCCAAGTCCTCCATAGGGTCTCGGTCCTCTCTGGGGCTCCTGGTCATCGAAGGCGACCTACCTCGGGAGAAGTCACGTTGTGCAGGCGTGGGTGATCGGGACCGCTCACGGTCCTGCTGTTGAAGGTCCTGGACCTGGCGTTCCAAGGCAGCCACGCGGAGCAGGGTGCCTTCATGTAGTTGTGTGTGTTCCTTAGTGGTGGCTTCGACTGCCTCCGTGCGGACTTCCTGCTGGTGCAGGTCCGCACGCAATCCGATCAGTTCAGCGTGGGCACGGTCTTGCGAGTCCTTACTTGTGTCAGCTTTAGTGTGGAGATCCTGCAGACTCTGATGAATCTGCTGGAGAGCATCCATCCAGCCAGCCCCCGACTGCACCGGCCTCGGCCCTCTGCCATTTCTGACGGGGGTGTAGGGATGTGGAGGGCCATTTGGTGGGGGCAAAGGAGGTTCTTCCATGCTTGCATCAGTAAGCTCATCCCCTAGGCTTACTTCTTGTGGTCCAGTCTCGCAGTTTCTTGTTCTCGGGTCTATCGGTGTCGGATGAGGATGCAGGGGGCTCTCCCTGTTGATATGGCGCGAGACGGACACTACGACCTCCTGCGACCTGCCCATCGTTCGGGACAAAATCTCCCATCCTAGGGCGGCCTGCTGCAGCAGCGGCTCGGCTAGCATGACTTTCCAGAGCTTGTGTGTGTCTAGCAATCATCAGGGCCTTGGGGTGCGGGAGGTAGTTAGCATGCGTAACACTGATAGCAGGTGCCGGGGTCGGGGGGGTCTCTTGAACCTCGTCGTCATCACTGCGCGACAGGTCGAAGGTAGGAACCTGGTGTGTGTTCGTAGGCACACGGACGGGCACCTCCAATGATGTCTCAGCGGTCCCACATGCATCCCCAAGTTCAGGCGTACCCGACGCCGGAGCGGCAGGCACACTTGGATCAATGAAGTCACCTGCGGTTTCGTCCTGTCCTCCTCCGAGAGACACCGAGGCAAGCGGGGCTACGGCAGGAGGGTTACTGAGTCTCATAAAGCCAGGGTGCAGCGGGTCGTCCTCAGTGGGGGGCGGTGGTTATAGGATCCTTAAGGGGGGTGGTTCAAGGGGGGAGGGTACTAGGGAGCTCTGGGGAACCTTAGGGAAGCTTAGGGAGTATTGGGGAATAATGGGGATTACTAGGTTCTACCCCCCTTGGACCACCCCCCCTTAAGGACATCCTAAGGTGGCCCCCAAACCCCAAGACCAAAAGCAATATTCCCAGAATCCCTGACCACGGTGCCGACCCCTCCTAGCGGGGGAGGCGTGCCAGGCTGCGTGGAGCTCATGTCATCGTCACCCCCTAATTCTTCTCCCTCCTCCAGGTCCATCAGTGTCCTGGTGGTGTTGTTGTTGTTGTCGTTACGTCCTCGAGGCGTGTCAGGAGTGGGTGCGCGGTATCCCACGGCCCCAGGCAGCAGAAGACTCTCGGCATCAGCTGACATCTCACTCTCTCCCGATCAAGTCAGTCAATTCAATTCAATTCAATTCAAAGCAGTGCAAAAACAAGGAAAGCAGTCCAGCAAGGAATTAGTAGGCAAGGAAAGGCAGCGCAGGGCAGTGAAGATTTCAGCAAGGAAGGACGAGGGAAAGCACAGCGTGAGAGAGAAGGGATTGAGAAAGAGAGAGGGGCGTGCAGACTGTACTGACCGACCGACCGGCGTGGCAGTAGGCGAGGTCCAAACTATCCAGCCTCAACCTAGAAAGCAAGTACATAGATAACCGAAGTAAAGAGAGGGAAAACGTGAAGCTTCGCCAACGTTGTTCAACTGATGCTGTGAGCCGAGACTTGAGCCGTAGTAGTAGTAGTAGTAGTAGTAGTAGTAGTAGTAGTAGTAGTAGTAGTAGTAGTAGTAGTAGTAGTGGGTAGTGGTAGTGGTAGTGGTAGTGGTAGTGGTAGTGGTAGTGGTAGTGGTAGTGGTAGTGGTAGTGGTAGTGGTAGTGGTAGTGGTAGTGGTAGTGGTAGTGGTAGTCGTAGTGGTAGTGGTAGTAGTGGTAGTAGTGGCAGTAGTCGTGGTAGTAGTCGTGGTAGTAGTGGTAGTAATGGTAGTAATGGTAGTAGTGGTGGTGGTGGTGGTGGCGGCGCCGGCGACGGTGGCGGGTGGCAGTGGTGTCGTGCTGGTGATTTTTCTACCACCCATCTAATGGTAGTAGTATGGTAGTAGTGGTAGACGTGGTAGTAGTGGACTCGTGGTGGTTATGTAGTTTGTCACCCACCTGGCACACTTATGACAGCTCCGCGGGGTCTTGACGATTAGCAAGTCGTGGTGGCAATAAAAATAGTACTGGTTATGGCAGAACCGCAGGAATAGTAGGAGCCGGAGCAGGAAGTGGCAGTATTGGTAGTAGAGTAAGTAGTCGTTAAAGGTAAAAGCCGTCGTCGAGGTAGCAGTGGCACCGACGATGTAGTGGCAACAGTCGCAGTCGTGGACATATGCGTGCTGGGAGAATTAGTAGTACAAGCGGTAGCGATTCTAGTCTAAGTAATAGTAACAATCATCGACGTCGCGGTCGTCGGGATACAGTGGTCGACTGAAGACAGCACACGAAGGAGAAGACTGCAAGCCCATGACCAGGTCCAAAACAACAGTCGGCAGCTACGACACAGTCATCGATGAAGTAGATTCGTCTGTCTGCTGGAAACGTGTGATGCTAATACCGGCACCGGAATCTGATGGCGGTTCCTAGGGTGGAACACAAAGTTTCCACACGAGATCCACACCCCAAGCTCGCTCACAAATGCTAGGACCTGCTAGGATTTTTGTGCGCTGCCGCAAGAAAAAACTGTCGAAACCGTTAAGGAGCGTAATCACCTAAGGATCACATGTCATGGCGACAGAGCTGGCACCATGTGTATCTGTTGCATTCTGTTGCCACACAATGAAGGACCAAGCTCATCACATACCAAGTAAAAGCGCATGTTTGTGGCGAGTGGTTCGAGAGCGGATTCGAGCTACGTTCGAGCTGAGCCCCTCCGGATGGCTGGCAAAAGCATAGAAGCCCTGTTGGTTACGAGCGCCGGCTATCGATGTCAATGCCCTTGCATTCTGATCTGGACTCGTGGTATCTGTCACAGGACTGAAATGATCAGGCATGTTCGTTAGAGCACGCTGCGCCCTACGAGGAGTATGAAGTTGGTCGGTGGCCTCATCGTCCACATCGCACCGCATGATCACACTCACTGTCTGCAAAGATTCGCGGCAGTAAAGAACCGTCGATCACTGGCCAGGCAACCGCCAAGCCCCTTCCTACCCGCAAATCCTAAGAACCCGAACTTAGCCCCTGTTGTGCCCAAGTGCTCCAGTCGAGCCGCCACGCGGTGGCCAGAACTAAAGCCTAAACCTAAGACCCTGGTTGATGCCTTGCAATCGGGAGTAGGACACGCACCTTTATGGATTGAGATTCCTAAGGGTTGGGAGAATTATGTTGGTATACCGTGAGGCTTGCAAGGATTGTGGGATGGCCCTCTCGGGCCACACAGCCCTTCGACAGCTGAAGCCGCAGGCTTCTGTGTTGTCGTCCGTCGTCGTTCAACCCAAACCCTACAGTGACCAAAACCCTCGGGACCACAGCTTTCGGATCCTTTTCGCACACTTGAGCCAAAGTTGGTTGAAGTCGCCCAAACTGGAGGTTCGAAACATGCATGCGCAAACAAAGGTGCTACTTCAAGCACCAGCAGAACATGGACATGTTATGTTCATGTTCCTACAGGTTCAACTGCCAACGAACTAGGCAGAAAAGGATGTTTGCGACTTTAATTGCAGCTATACTCTAGACGATTACCTCGACCATCATGAGCGATAGCTGGGAACATCACGGAGTATCTGGCCTACGATCAACACTCCTCCTTCTCGGCATGTGCGGGCTCGCACGTGCTGAGACTCCACTAGGGCCAGATCTCCCAAACTAGAAAAGCATTAACGGCGCATAAAGGATAAAGCAACAGCGTACTCCCCAGGCCCGTTGGGGTTTGGTGGACCAGCCTATGGCCTCTTGACTTTCTTTTTTCGGGCATCTTGACTCTGTTCTTGTCCCCGGTGGGAATCACCTGCGCCTTCTAAATCCCCATACACAGACTCTGGACTATTCCTTCGGAGCCCATGTTGCAAAAGAACATGCCACTCCTGAGAGTGGACCTCGCGCGAAAAGAAGATGAGCAGAACGGTTATCATCGACCTACCCATCACGTAATCCGCAGCTGCGTGCGTGCTGTAGCCAATTTCGCTTTCCCCAGGACCTTAGTCAGTCCATCGGCTTCGAGCTCATTCGTCCCACGATGTTGGACCTCAATGTTGTGCAACCACACCAAGTCTCTGATATATGCACAACGGATCGCGAAATGCCTGGTTCGCATAGTCTGTTCATGAAACCGCTCCCGAGTGATCAAATGAATAGCTCCCGCATTGTCGCCATTGGCCACAAGGTGAATCTTGCATGCAAACAGCTCCTCAAGCACTGCGTGTATCTTGATACCCTCTTGGATCGCCACTGCGGTCGCCTCGATCTCGGACTCAGTCGCTGACCATGCCACAATAGACTGCCGCTGTGACTTCCAATAGACAAGATGGTCACCTAGGAACAGGGCTACCCCGCTTCTGGATCGCGCGCCACCCGGCGCCAAGGATGCATCTGAGACAATGCGAAAAGTCCACTCCGCATCTGCTGTATCATCACCGCCCCCAGGATTCACAGGACCACCACCGTAGCGATAGTGCAAAGTCTTCTCCCATGTACTTCTCAGGTATCGCCAAATCCCCTTGCACAAACGAAGACTTTCGGAAGGCCTCGATGTGATCAGAGTTGAAGCAACGCCTAAACAAGCAGCAATGTCCGGTCGAGACCGGAGTGCAATCCACATTAAGGTACCAGCCTCTTTCTGAGCCAGTCTCATGTTGCTGTTGAATGCATTGTCACGAAGTTCAGACCCCTGAAGACCCTCCGAAGGCACCGGCAAAGATTCTGCGCCCTTGAGTGCGAGCCACCCTCGAGCACGAAGTTCTTGAGCTATGTATTTCGCTTGTCCAATACGCAATCCATCGCTCGCCACAGAGATCTCTGCACCAAGGAATCGCATGCACCGAACAAGTTTCAAGGTTAGGGTTTCACTCACAACCAGGTCCTTGTTCAGGCCTACACCCGGTTTCTCAAGAATGCCCTGCCCCTTGATAGCCCACAAACTCTGGATGAAGGCCGTAACCCGTCTAATCACTTCAATGCCGCCCACAATGAGTCCATCGTCAACGTACGCACAGCATGCCCCTCTGGTCACGCCCGCGCCGTCAACGATCTTCCACAAACCTGCTGCCAGATTCAACGGGACCAAATGCAGTGCTCCCAGTTTGTCCTCATCACCAGGAGGCAGTTCCGCATGATTGAGCTTGTGGTCACGTTCTCGCTCCCATTCTGTCGGTCCACGTCGTAGTCCGTAGATGTTGCGTTCCGCCACCCACACAGTGTTTTCTGCAATGATTCCTAGGTCTCTCATTATCTTCGGCGGAGTAATTACCACAGGGTCCCCGGAAATCTCCGCGTTGAGAAAGGCCGCCTCGACGTCGAGACCGCCCAATGTCCAATCCTCAACCTTCGCAGCTAGGGATACAAAGCATCGTACAATTTCAGGTGGTATGTTTGATGACGACCACGGCTCCCCGTTGTTATCGGTGCCCTCCTCGAAGTTCCCACATGCACAGATTCGGCTCTTTTCCATGAATCCGTCTGCATTCGCCCTCTCATCCTCTGAAGGTTTCATGGTGGGCACAACTTTTGAAGGGATCTCCCTGGGCAGCTTGGCCTCAGGGGAGATGTTCAAGTACTCGCGCAATCCCGATCTGGGGACCTCACGGAGGACACCGTCCATCTTTGCATACTCGGCAATCAATGACTCTCGCCACTGCTGTTGACGATCACCCTGAAAGAAACCCTTTAGATCCACGGTCTCCGCCTGAACGGGTGCCACACTTGCCTCAAGTAGACTCGCTTCAACCTGATTTGCAAGCTGCTCCTCTTCATACGAAAGCAGATGGTATTTCTGCCAATTCACAATCTTATCCCCATGCTCCGGCGCTGGCTGCGCCGCCTGTGAAGATGATGCTGCTGCCACTGCTGCCAACGGGTATCCCTCTAATGGACTTTGGCCTTTGAGCACCTCCTCAACAGTCAAGAGACCCAAATCTATTCCCAGATCCCGAATGGTATCTGCGTCCCGAACCTGACCATCACTCGAAATCCAGAGAAGATCCCCAGACAGGGACTCGTAGGTCCTCCAGCGCCGCTCTGGCTCCTTGATCACCGCAGGTAACCTAGTCACCACAACTGCATTCCGGCCGTTTCTCCTGACCTCAACATAGGCACCGTTGGTAAACTTGTCCGCACGACCAATGAAGATTGCAGCTTCCGAGCGCACGTCCAAAGGACCCGGGTTGTTGATCTTGATCACGACGCTGTC